ACAGGTCTTATATTAAAGACAGGAGGTAGTATTAAAATTCATCACTTTCTCTCTATTTGGATCAATTCAAATGAGGTAATGTTAAAATCTCTCCCATCCCTTCACCTACCATTACCTCTATTAAAATTTCTCCTTTCTCCTTCCTTCTATTAAGCCAAATAGATCCTCAAGCGTCATCTTAAAAAAATTAATTTGGCTTTTAATTTTTTTTAAAAAAATTAAATTATAAGTTTTGATAGACAAAATTTAAATTATTTTTAGCTTACGACAGGTCCTGGACATGCGAATTGACAAGTTGAGCCCACTGTCTGCTTTTAGCCGTCTTCTATAAAATTCAAATAATGAAATTACGTAAATAAATAATAGATTAAATCGATTAAAATAATAAATAGGTAAAAATAAAATTTATTTAACAAACACTTTTATTTATGAGAAGAGGATTAATAAGGGAGAATAAATAAATACAATAACTAATGCAGTGAAATTAAACAATAATTAACCCAGACAGAATTAAAAAATGACACTAAAAAAATTAAATAGAAAGCGCTTATTCCCCACCGTGGAATTTATATACGTAAAGACACACGCACACAATCCATCTGTCCCATACATACTTTTAGGATAGGATTGGTCCCTTTTATAACTTAAACTTTGTATTATGAAAATTTTAACTTTTTTTAATTTAATATTCCTATTGTTTGCAAGTTTCTGCATCAAGTATCACGTTCATCGAGAATTATAATCAACTCTCTCTTGTCTCTTTTTTCTACCAATTTTTTATTATCTCTTTTTTTTTTTACTCATTCTTTCATAAATAAAAATGTATTTTAAAAAAATATATTTTGTAAAATGATAAGTTTGGGTTTATGATTAACAAACAATTTTTTTCTTAATACATAATATTTGAATCAAAGGATTTATAAAGGGGGAATTACAACCAAATCCCACAGAAGAGAAATAATTACCGAAAGGTCCTAATAACAACTTCAACAGTCTATAATAACAAGTTTTATAGTGAAAATGACAATTTTTAAGACTTGTTTTTTAATTCTTTTTCTTGCTTGGGACCTCATTATAATTCTCCCATATTTATAAATGCTTTTTAATTTATATATTCATATAACTTATTATATATTAAAATACTTTTTCACATGTGTCGTTCATTTTCATTGCTTTTGTGTATCTTTCAACTTTTTTTTTTGGGTTACGTCGTTTTGCATGTTTACACTATGTCCAAACTTATCATTTCACAATTAGGATATGTTACTTGTAGATGAATTGTTGTTATTTTTAATTGATTCACATATTACGTATAAGGAAAAAAAATTTTATTCTTAAATCCAGACTTGTCATTTTACAATTAAAACTTGTTTTTGTAAATGAATTGTTATCATTTTTAATTAATTGTTATATTATTTTACGTTATATATCAGAAAAAAAATGTTGTTAACCTCAAATCAAGATTTATTATTTCACAATTAGAATTTCCAAATGAATTGTTATTGAAATCAAAGTAAATGAGTTAACTTTTATATATATATATATATATTTGCATTATAATATTAATAAAGTTTGCAAGCTTAGTGGTCACTTTTAATTTTAAGAACCGTCCGGTTGAGAATCAAATCCTACCAACTTCATTTTTCCTCCCTTTTTCAAAAAAAAAAAAATCCTCCTGCAGACGAGGAGCTCCAAACTTAAAAAAAAAAAATAAAAAGACATTTTCATAATTTTTCTTAAATTTTAAAATTTTAATTTGAGTTTATCTTCTTTTCTATTATTTGAATTTGGAATTTTCTCTATATTTTTACTCATTTATTTATACCAGTTTATTGGGATGAATAATTCCGTGAATTGGGAGAACGTGTCGGGACGCAATTGGCCAACACAGCGTATAAACCAAGAACGAGGAGACGAGTTGCTCACAAACTGCCAACTGGCACCACATACCCAAGTTTCACAAAACCACATACATAGTTAACCGTAAACATACGCCTAGAATTTTATTTATAAATGACTTTTGATATGTTTTATAAAAATTAAAAAAATTTAAAACTATTATTTAAATTCTAATAACTTTTCAAATTTATTCCTATTTAATATACATTATATTTTATATAAATAAAATTAACATAATAATAAATAAAGGATAAAATTGTACATCTATGTAGAAAATTTCTTTCTATGTCTTATAAATAGAACCAAAAAATATCTTCACTTTTTCCCTTATCAATAAAATCAAAGGAATAATGATATACTCGTACTAATTGTGACTGAATTAGACTTAATTAATTCCCCTCCGATTTTAATATAAATTACATAAAACTAAAACCGGTGATATCAATTGATTTTACAATTGGGTTCAACTTGCCCATAAACAGGCATTTTTGGCTTACACTGCGTAGACTTAACCCACGGATTGACTCATATTATTACTTATATTTTCATGTATTCTCACATATCAAGGGATATATCAAATTGATAAAAAAATTTATTTTATTTTTATTAAAGTTTTTTCTCTACACAGTTACAAATCAATATTCTTGTATTTCTCCTTTTTACCATTCTCATTCTAATTAGAACTAAATAAAGGTAAAAATAAAATAAAAAATACTTCAAGTGATTTACATTTAGGACCAAAACTTTATACCACAAGTGATTTACACTTAAGAAGTGTTTGGATACCTCTAAAAACACTTTTTAATAGTGTTTTCATATAAGTTGAGATAAAACTTCTCTTAAATACTTACTTTGTATATCATATAATCACTTTTAGAATCATGATTTGCTTTCTACCTAAACACTTTCTTAGAGTAGGAGTGGTCCAACATAATTAAAATAAAATAATTTAATTTAATTAAAATGTAGACAAATATTTATATTTAACCATAAAAAGGATAATATTTAAATAAAACGAGTATTAATTCATAAAAAAAAAATATTTACATATATATATATATAAATCATCTATATACAATATAAAATATAAATCTAACATATTGTGTATTTTTTTCTCAACTCAAAATGATGTTATTTTTGGTTTATGAGAGGAAAATTATTCTATTCAATTCAATTGAAGCTTGATCAGACTGGTCAATGAATTAATTCATTGGTTTACTAATCTCAATCATCGATCCTCGTGCATACCCAAACCCAATTCCATATTTTCTTACAAAGTTGGTTTTTTTTGCCCTTTAAATATCTCATATGTTATAGAGAGCTTGAGAAATACATTATGCTATTATGAGTTACAAATAGTGTGGGGCTCTCTGATATTAAGTACTCCTTTTGGTTCTAAATATAAGATCTATTTGTAATATAATTTATATTATAAAATATGTCTTATATTTAGAATTGAAAAATTATTAAATACTAAGGAATGATATGGTACAACAATGTGTGATTGATTCACATAACATGGAGCTAGTTTCATCAATTCGTTTTGTTTAGCATAATGAGCCAGTTCCTTATGATTTGATGAGATTTAAATTTCTATTGAAAGACGTACTTATACTTAGTGCTTGATAGTGTTTTAAATTGGATTGTTGTCAACACGAGAATATTGTGCCTAGCAACAAACCTTAGGCAATCCAGACTAACATATGAAATATGTACAAAAATATGTGAATTTTACACAATATTACTCCTCCGGTCCTTAATATAGAACCCAATTGTTAAGTTGATTTTGGTCCTAAATATAAGATCTATTTCTCATATTTATCAATGTTCTCTAAATTACCTCTATAGATACTCCCTCAACCATAATTAAATAGAAGAGGAAGAGGGGGTATTAAGAAAAATGATTATGGTATTTAAGAAAAACGTGTTATACTTATATTTCTTATAATTAACTAACCTACCTAACTTTCTTAATCTAATTAAATTAGTTAAATGAGTCTTATATTAAGGACCAGAGGAGTATGTATTACTACCTCCAATCCTAATTATAAGATCTCATTTGTAGACTACAAATGAGTCTTATAATTAGAACAGGAGGTAGTATTTTGTATCACTTTCTATTTAAATATATATATATATAGAAGATCTGATTTAGATTTTCATTTAGCAAGACTTTGAAACTATATTCCAGTATTATTTTACATATATCACTTCCTATTGATCGAAATAGTGGAGTTTGTTAAGGTTTATATACTATATATTATTAATTTCCTCATCGAAATCACTGACAAATATAATTTTCAAACTTTATAATAATTTTATAAATTATAAAATTAACCAGAAACAGTCTAAAATAAAATAATTTATTTATAGTTTATAAACAACTCTATAATTAGTACACCTAGCGGGATAATTTAAATGATAGAATAATTAACCTCCATACGTACCACTCCCGCACCAATACATGTCAACAATATACGCGATACAAATTTGGATCATTTCTTGTTTCAATCTTACCTTCTTTGCACAAAAGAAAGGAAGCTACTCGATCGGTCCTATATATCTTTTTCTTTTTTTTAATAAACTCGATACCCTGGAGGATTTCAAAAGCAGAATTTGATTATTAATTGATTTAGGACTGGAGAATTAAAATTAAGTTTTTTTTAGAAAAATTAGTGGAAAAATTTCTAATTAAAAAAATTAATTTTCCAAAAGTATTTAAAATTTTTCAGTATTTTTCAGCCCGGTAAATAATATATATATTTGTCCCAAAATTAAAACTACATTTATTTTAAGAAGAGTTGTACTACCTCCGGTTCTTAATATAAGACCTTGTTTGACTTTTATTTTGATTCTAAATATAATATCCCAATCTACTTTGTCTCTTATATTTATTTATTTTTCCAAAGTAATCCTTCTAACAATAATAGTTCTAGCCAATACACTTGATTAGTAAAGATATTTTAGGAAAGACAACATATGTTTGTTACAAATAACTAATTTAACTTCTTTCCTTAATCTCCTCAAATTAGTGAACTAGCTCTTATAATTAGAACCGGAGGTAGTATCATTTAAGGATAATTTGCACTTATTCAAAAGTTTAAGGCTCTTAATTAAGTGGAGAATTAATTTACTAATCTTCTTGTTTTCTTTTTCTTTTTACTGTTGGGCCACTGTAACGAAGATGAATAATACCGTACCGTAAAGAAGCGTATACGACTCATCACAGTGGTCCCACTTAATCTCCCTCGCCTTCCTTCCTTCGTCCGTCCTTCCTTCCTTCCTTCCTTCTCCATCATATGCCCCTCCTCCGCCTTATTCCATCCATCCTCGAACTCACCGTACCATCTTATCTCTCTCTCTCTTCCGTCTTCTCTTCTTTTTAATCTTCCCTCCTTCCCTTCCTTCTTTACGCCATCCTTTCTTCCTCTTCTCTTCTCTTCTGCATCTGCATCATCTCTTTACAGAGCCTCTGCCATGCGCATCCCCTCATGGCTCGATTCCTGCTCTTCCACCGCAGCGACAGCCCTCCAATCTACCAAGAAACCGCCGATACCTTCCGATGATACCAGTTCCTCCGATTCACCTTCTTCTACCTCTCGGGACACCGCCTGCACCAGCACCACTAGCAGTCTTCATAGCAACCTCTCCGTTCAGACCCACCCTTCTGTTCCTTCTCTCCAGAAGCTTCCTTCCCGCGGCACCACCTACGTCGTTTCTCAACATTGCCTTGCTTCTCTAAACCCACACCCCTCTCACCCTCTCACCTGTCTCGCCATCCACGGCGATCTCCTTTACGCTGCATCCTCCCACCACATCACCGTCTACGATCGCCGTAGCTGCACCCACCTCCGCTCCTTTGGCTCCCAACGTTCTTCTTCCGGATCCACTAAGGCCCTTGCGTTTTGCAATGGCAAGGTCTTCACCACTCACCAGGACTCTAAAATTCGCGTGTGGAAATTACTTGAAGATAAGGGATACCAGATGGTCACTGCTCTTCCCACCGTCAACGACCGTCTACGTCGTTTTCTTCTTCCCAAGAACTACGTCGCCGTACGGCGTCATCGGAAACAGCTCTGGATCCAGCATGCAGACGCCGTCACAGGGCTGGCCGTTAATAACAACATTATTTACTCTGTGTCTTGGGATAAGAGCATGAAGATATGGCGAGCCTGCGATCTGCGCTGCGTTGAGTCAGTGAAAGCTCACGAGGACGCCGTGAACGCGGTGGTTGTATCCAAAGACGGAACGGTGTACACAGGATCCGCGGATAAACGGATTCGGGTATGGAGCAAACAGGACGGAGAGAAAAGGCACTCGTTGATAGCGACGTTGGAGAAGCACAAGTCGGCGATAAACGCCTTGGCGTTAAACGAAGAAGGGTCGGTGCTGTTTTCCGGTGCGTGCGACCGTTCGATATTGGTGTGGGAGAGAGAGCACAGTGCGAATCATATGGTGGTGAGTGGAGCTTTGAGAGGGCACGAGAAGGCGATCTTGTGTTTGATCAACGTGCGTGATTTGCTTCTGAGTGGGTCAGCAGATCGGACGGTCAGGATTTGGAAGCAGGGGGTTCAGGAAAGCTATTGTTGCGTCGCCGTTCTGATGGGTCATCAGAAGCCGGTGAAAAGCTTGGCGGCCGTTACAGAATCCGAAGCTTCTGAACCGAACAGCGACGTTTCGGTGTTCAGCGGTTCCCTGGACGGTGAGATTAGGGTTTGGAGAGTTTCTCTCAAGGAAGACGTCGACGCGACCTCAACGACACTTCCGGTGGGCACAGATGATCGGCGACGGTGACGGATAGAATATAACAATGTTAGAATTCTAAATAGTAAATACGAGTACTATAAATAAACACAAGTTGCAGATGGAAACCGGGAGAAAAAAAACAAAAGAAAATCCCAAGTTGCATGGTGGGGGAAAAAAATATGAAAGGGATATATAAATGAGATTTGACAGACGGGCCGGTCTTTAATTAGGACGTAGCTTTAACCATTTATTAGTTTTGATGGCAAATTTGTTGAAATTGCAATTGATATCACTTTGATTATTGGTTGTTCTTCAATTAATGCTTGTATCTATCAACGACGAATTGATTTTTCGCCTGTACGAGATTGCACCATAAAATGTCTCTAATATACCACAAGGGTATATATATTTTCAATATGGTTTACATAGATTAAAAAAAATCTTAAGTTTCATTAACTCTCATTTAAAATTCAATAACTTTTTAATTTTTTTTCTTATTTAATATACATTATACCTAATTTAAATAAAGTTAACACAATAATAAATGAAGGATAAAATTGTACATTTATATAAAAAATTTCTCTCAGTATTTTATAAATAGGATAAAAAAATATCTTCTCTCTGTCCTATAAATAGGACCAGAGGATATGTATTAAGGTGTATGAAGGAGCATGGATACGCGCAGAAATAATGATTAGGGAAAATCTAAAAAAAAGACTCTGAAGATTGAAAAATTACATACAAGACCCGTTCACAAAAGTTGCTGTTATTTGTTTATCAATTATCTTCAAAACTCATACTAATATTGTATCGGGTTTCTATTTACAATTTTTTTATTTTCAAGGTTTTTTTTGTGATTTTTCCTAATGATTATAAACTTTTTATAAAATTATGACTGTTGAAACTCGAAAATTCAGACCTGGCTGTGAAGGATCAATGGCCGTCTCGTTCGATTATATTACACAAGAAATAAGCTAAGCTTTACTTACACAGCCACACACACACACACACAATATAAGCAGGTAAGTTTGAGCTGGCAAAAACAAATTAAGTAGGCAAGTTTCACTCGATACTGTAGGGGTGTTTTTGTCTAGAATATAATAACCCAGCAGGATTTGGGCGTTTGGTGGTACCATAAAACCAGTCTCAGTATTCCAGAGAGTATAGCTGGATGTGTATATATACACACTCCTGGATTAGTTTGCCTTAGTTTCATCCAAAACTGTGAACTTTGATCTCATCTTGTCACAATGTAACCAACAATCGGCATCTTTATTTTATGAGCACAAAATTAAAATAATTGCTTTTCTCTCCTCCACACCCGAGTAAATGTGGATCCAACACTCTATTTGGTTTATATATGTAACATCCAGCATCATTATCTTTTTTTTTTTTTAAGTACATCCCGTATACTCTAGTCTTATTTTAAGTGCGTCTAACATGATATACCTAAAAAAATAACATCGAGATGCTCGATGTACCAGGAAAATAAGACCGATCAGGATGTTCGATGCATCTTTATCCTTAAATATATTTGCCACTTGAACGCTCACTCCTATATTAAATTTTGTGTATATTTAAATTTTTTAAAAAAAAGAAAGAAGCATGCCATATATTTAATTATACAACTCAAAATGAAGAAGCCGGGTAGACGTGCCCGTAACTTGCAAAAAGATAGCAATCTATATCGTGTGTGTGTGTATAATATATATATATATATATATATATTTATAGCCAAGGAGGCTATATCTAATTAAGCACTAATATAGCTTAACAGTTAAATTAACACTGAACACATTCAAATACTATATATACAAATACAAGTAATACTACCTTCGCTCCTTAATATAAGAGTTAGTTGACTAATTTGAGTACATTAAGGAAGTTTGTTGGGTTAGTTATTTGTAATAATTAAGTGTTTTCTTCCCTAAAATATCCTTACTAATCTTATATATTAACTAAAGCTACCATTTAATTGAATCTTTAACATATACAACTACTACAAGAACTATTTTGGAAGAAATAGATAAATGTGAGAGACAAAAATGAATTGGGATCTTATATTTATGATCAAAATCAAAGTCAAATAAGGTCTTATATTAAGAACTGGAGGTAGTATGCATGAATCAATATAGGACAAAGAAAGGCATTATATTCCTTCTGGATGCCTCCATTGTTTTAAGATAATCTGATTAATTATTGATTAATTAATTAATTAATCCGCAAGCCACGAGCCATGTATTTGCTAAATGCATATATTTAGTCCCAGATTCTCAAATCACTTCCTCAATTTAAGGCTCAAGTACTTTGTATTATGTACTGATTTTCGATAAGTTGACTAATTATCTCGTAAATTTTTTTAAGTTTTAATTAATTTTTTATTTATTAGTACGATTCCCATGGCCTTGATTTTTCTCTCATGTTCTCATTAATTACTTATTCAGTTTTATATACCAACTGGGATTAATATATTTTCTGTCACTTGCCGTCCCCATGCATGAATATATTATACTACCTTTATTCCTTAACATAAGAGCTAATTTGACAATTTGATCCTAAATATAAGATCTCAATCCACTTTATCTCTCATATTTATTCATTTTTTAAAGTAGTCATTGTAGTAATTACACATATTAAATGTGCAATCAAATGTTAGTTTTAGCTAATACATGATTAGCAATGGTATTTTAAGAAAGACAACACATAATTATTACAAATAACTAACTCAAAATTTTTTACTAATCTACTTAAATTAGTTAACTAGTTCTTATATTAAGGATTGGAGGTACAGTTTTATAGACATACGTTTGTTAATAAAAGACAAAATCATAACTAGAATTTCCTACCATGTGACTGATGAAGCTTGATGTTGATGAGCAACAATAATATTAAAGGAGATTTAAGACGTTCATAAAAAATAGTCTAAGTTACATTTATTAAAAGAAATTACAAAATTAACAAAATTTTTATCAACTTCAAAAGTTATACAAGAGGTGTAAATTGCACAATCTCGCGAGTAGTTGTGAAAATTCTTTGCATGTTGACTATTATGCTTAATTAGGATAGTATAACTTAGTTTTGCTTTGAGGTAATGAATATAACTACTGTTACCAGCCACTTCAAGGCAAACAAAGAAAAGAATAAACCAAAAGTAACTTTGGCTTGTCTTTTTTGATGTTAAGTAACTTGTCATAATAGATAAACATGGCCTGCCGTGAAAATAAGGATTTACAGATTCCATATCATTATTATTATGGCTTAATTACTTAATTAAGTGAAAAGAGATTTCATATACAGAAGGCTAGCTAATTCTGATCCTTTCATTTGTCGCTAAACTAAGATCCCAACCAAGCATAACCCTGTGGAATTTAAATTTACTTTGGATTTTTCCTTTTTTTTTTTCCCCCAACAGTACTCAAATTGTTAGAATCACTTGACAAAAAAATAAAAAATAAATTAAAGTGAAAAAAAAGCCCTTTCTATCAATAGCAGGAAAACAAAACAATAAAAATATAAATATATAACTAAACAGAAGATCAGCAAATAATGAAGTGGAAAAGAAGAGCTTGAAAAATCTAGAGCATAATGCGCTTAAACTACACCATTTATTAGTGATAGTCACACTTGAATCTCTTGAGAATTATTAGAGGCTTTATTAGCTCATACCCAAACATCTACATGTTAAATGAGATGATTTTTTTTTTCAACGAGGGTTGTCTTTTTTGGACTCACCCACATCATGAACATAACACAAATTAGTATTATTTTTTTAATAAAAGTCTAATTTGTTGAAAAAGAATTAGCTAGCATAGAAGACTCATCACATTACCCGTTCAATTAAGGTCATAGTCATACAACACATATAGTATAACAAAACAAATAGTAATACAAGAAACAAGAGCCACACACATCCGAACAACATTAACAAATAGACAATAAAATCATACAAACCAAAGTTGATGACCTAGAGATTGTGGAATCCATATCCACCCCATACACTTGCATGCACTTTGATGTTCACAAAAAAGCAAGACATTAGCAAGTTGACTTAATGTGACGCGCTGCATATAATGGAAGTTCCACCACCAAGTTGTCGATGAACAGGATTATATATACTACTTCTTGTCTTTAATATAATACTTGTTTGGCTTTTATTTTAGTCCTAAATATAAAATCCCAATTCACTTTGTCTCTCATATTTATCTTTTTTTCCCAAGGTAGTCCTTGCAATAATGGTAGTTCTAACTAATATACTTGATTAGCAAGAATATTTTAGAAAAGACAATACATATTTGTTATAAATAACTAATTTAACTAGTTTCTTTAATCTACTCAAATTAGTCAATTAGCTTTTATATTAATTAAGGACCGGAGGGAGTACGCAGACATATATATGCTACTGATTAACCTCACTCCCCTAAAGATGAGAAACATGCGTTAGTTTATTCGAATTGAGTTTGAAAGAAATGGGCATAAATCCAACTTCAAGTGGGAAATTCCGTATTATATTTGCATCTCAACTCAGAAATTTCTTAAATTCCAGGCATGCACCCAAGAAAAAGAGAGGAAAGCTTTGTAGTATTTTACATAGGCTAGATAGATGTCATTTTCAACGTTGTTGAAAGGGAAGGGATTGAAATCCGTATCTGTGTATATATATAATCGTAATACTACTATTCATATACGCATAGTTATGCGTGCATGTCGTTATCATTGATTATATTGCGTGTGAATGGCAGAAGTTAAAGTGGAGCTCTAGTTGTCCATCAATTCAAGCAACCCAGCCTGTTCCTTATTCATCCCTGCGCCACAAACAAATGACACACACACACACACACACTCCCTCTGATTCAATCGCCTTTAGAAAAATGACTTGAAGAGTGAATAATGCTTATTTGTTAATTTTGTCCTTATAATTAAATGCTTGAATATAACTCTCTATATTTTTCTCTCTCATTTACAACCTCATTTGATATGAGTAAAGTTAAGGGGGGGGGGATTTTCAATTTGAGGCAAATTTAAGGAGTTCATGACTACCATTTTTTGATTCTGATAAATTAGTTGAAATGAGTTATATTATGGATTGGAAGCAGTATATATGTATACACACAGAGTATATGATATAGAGGATTAGGTTGGGCGAGGTTGTAAGTGCAACTTGGCAACTTGAGCAACACCGTCACTACTAATTTTATTGGCAATTACTCTCCCGTTTTTATTATAAACTTTAAATAATTAATTTATAGATAAAAAATAATTAATTAAAAACAATAAATGGATTAGAAATAAATTTTTATTTTCATATATGCCCTTATAATAAATGAGAAAAAAATGAAAGAGAATGTGTAGAAAAATATGATAAGAGAAATAATTAAGAGCAATATTTAAAAAAATGCATTAAATGTTAAGAAAAATTCAAATTGAAACTTCTAAAAATAGACAACATCCCTTCTCAAATTTGAAGCTTATAAATAAGATCAAAGGGACTACTGATTAATAGTTAAGTCTAATTAAGTTCTGGTGCCTTTTTGTTGGCATAATATACGTGTGTAGCCAATTTCATATACTATGTGTGGTCCTTAATCTATGCATTTAATATTTATCACTTTTGCTTCTAAGTAATTTTTATGGTGATTGCATATGTTAAAGCGTTTTCATAAAAAAGTAATTCCAATGCATATGATTCATAGAAGTAGTTGAGAGAAAATAATATTTATTTATTACAAATAAATAACTTAACTGATTTTTTTTAATTTTTATAAATTAGTTATATAGTTTTTATATTAAGAAATAGAAGTAATATACTTACTAGCCCTTTTAACATTGGTGAGAGAGGACTTTTAACATCAGTTTTAAGGAGGCCATGGTTAGTCACAAGACGACGTAGTACTAGTACACTAGCTATCTTCTTATTTTCTTTGGCGCCTTGATTCTTTGTACTGTTCCCCCCCCCGGGGGTCATTTTCTAAGTCGCAAGACTCAAAATGAGTCCCGGTATATATAATTTATGCAAAATAATCAAAGCTTACTGTCATCAAATTAACAATAGTTTTTCCCCAAATCATATCAAATAATAATACTCTTCCGATCCTAAATATAAGACCCTTATACACACTAGTATAAGGATCTTATATTTAAGATCGGAGGAGTACTTTCGTACACATTAATTCTTATTTTTAGTCCTTGTTATGTGAATAACTTTTGATGCAGACACTACAAAGTAACGTCGATCGAGTCTCTTTCGTTCAGGGCTATTAAACTCAGCACATAGATTATTAATTAATCATATTCGATTAATTAAAGAAATCTGATTACCAAATTAAAGCCTATGACTGACTACCTTTTTTTTTTTTTTTTGAAATTATTGAGTATGAAATATAAGTATAATTAATTGATTTACTTATTTTTCAATCGGATGCCGTCATTTGTGACATAAGTTTCAATATCTTATTTCTTTTAACGATCGTCCTTCTCAATATGATTATGCCATTTTTATATGACATCACCACCATTATTCCTGATTGACTTATATTTTAATACAAGCATTTCTTTTCATTCACAAATGACAGCTACGCATATGAATTTCGAAATAATTATATATTATGAAACAGCGCCAGAAGTCACATTATCATAAATGAAAAATTATTTTATTTTTTTAGTGATTTGAATGAGAACTTGACATGTCTTATACATTTAATTAGGCTTTTCAGAAAGCAACTTTTGCTCCTTTTTTTTTTTAATTACTTGTTTGGGAGCTACTTATATCTTGAATTAAAAATAAAAGGGAAAACGAAACTTTTAATACTCAAAGATTACCCAATTCACACAGTGACGTTAAATTGACATGACAAGATATTTGTATGGCCAATTCTTGAGAACTTCTCATTTATTATTGAATTAGTACCGCCGGTAAAAATTGTGTGAATGTATGATGAAGAGTGAAAAATTTTAAAAGTGTCAATATCAATCATTTAATATAAAACATAAAATTTAGATTATAAAAAAAATAAAACATAAAGTTTACAGAAAGGTATGTTATTTATAGAATTTGCATAACTGAGGCATATACCTGTCTTGAGAATCCAAAAAAGTACACTACTTGGACTTTGTATGATCCTATATTTAAGAGTTGAATCAATAATCATTGCAGCAACGGTACATGAAGAGCTTTTCCATGGGACGGCCACATTCAGCACAGGTCACTTCTTCTAGGCTTCTGCCATTGCTTCCTGGAACTATCAACCTATTGCAATGGTGTGGGGTTCTTAGCTCTTGTATATATTCTTCCATTGCTATCAAAACCCCTTTCTCTTTTGCCTTGTCCTTCCATTTCTGATACTCATTAACACATTTCAGGACTGTTTCTCCTTTTGCTTTCACCATCTTCTCTGTTCCTCTGCCCATCACAGCCCATCCTTCCTCGCTTCGATCAAAGCTCACAATTGTCATCACTTCCTGCATTATTGGGTCACTCTCTACTGTTTTCCCCTGCTGTAACTTGGAGTGCCACATGCTTTCTACTCTAACCCAGAAGTACCATATTAATGTCAGGTCCTCCAGTGTACTGCTCAGCTTCTCTGAAATTATAGCTTCCGTGTTCTTCTTAACTTTCTCCCCTGGATTGCTTCTCCCTATGTATATCATTTCCAGTGGGATTTCCAGAGTCTCAGCCATAGCATATGCGCCTCTTGTGAATTTCCTAATCCACTCAAGATCTTCACCTCCATACAAGCATACGTATTTCCCTTCTGATATCTGAAACAAGTTTGCACTCCAGTAAGTTTAAGCCAGTAAATTTGTGAATTTGCATTTAATTGGAAAATGTAACATCTAGTATCAGTCTCAGTTTTCAAATAGCCTAGTTGAAAGGAGATATTCTGCATTTTTCCTAATGAAGTACTAGTATGAATTGTTTCGCATACCCAGCTTAATGGACAAAACACATCTGCCAATAGCTGGAGTCCCCATGTTTGTTTCGCCCAAATGGATTCCTCGTCAGAAACTGCGAAAGGATATGCTAAGCATCCCCAAATCCACATAATGTGTAAAGCATTTAGGTTGACAACCTTTCCTTGCTGGTCCAACACAACAAGTATGGGCTTCTTCTTGAAATGCCAAATATCTTTAATGTACTTAATGACTGCTTGCTCTATCTGCCAAGGATCATAAATTGAGTACCATGGCATTGTTGATCGTAGGTCCTCCAACTTCTTCCGTTTCACTTCAGTACATGGGGTTGCCTTGTTCACAACTGGAAACCAAACGACTTCGTATGGAATAGGAAACATGTCTGGTTCCTCACGTGACTCGAGATGCATATGTCCAAGAATCATGATCTCTTGGTCAGAGAGATCGAGATCTGATATGAATAGCAGCACAATTTTACTCCTCAATGCATCACTGCTTACCTGAGGAAAAAGATAGAGAAGGTTGGCACTGACACATGGAAATATCAGACAAAATAGCATTTACATTGAAGTCTAACCCTTTGCTTGGTAGAACAATCAAGGAGTGGCAGTTGATCATCCTTGAAGTCAAACAAACCTTGAAGAATTTCCAAGTTGTCAGCGTGAGATGCATCAAAAAGGCGCACAAGTGTCTCGAAAGCTTCAGTTTGTTTGTTATCATCTGCATTAATACATAAATGTCCAACATCACCAGGATAAAAAGGTGTCCCGGTTATAGATGAATTCATTTAAGTGGTGCAAATCCACATAAGGAATTAGATTTACCCATCTGCTTATGTAAAAGGGCAAGCTGAGTCTGAAGGTGATTGTGTATGTTATTGAGCTTGTGAACCAGACTAGAAAGTTCCCAAGCCTCTGACATTGATGCTATATTTCTAACATCAATCCAGAAATTAATTAAAAAAAGAAAAAAGAGTTTGATTTCCAAAATCACCAAAGCAAAAATATAAGGAAGTTAAGAGCAATTTAGGATGATTCTCATAGAGAGGCCAGACAGACATACCGATTCATACTCAGGAGGCCTGAAATTTGTGATGCAGAAGCCACAATACCACGAATGGTCCAATAGACAGCAATGGAAACCAAAGTGGTGGTAGCCAACGTCTGCGGCGTGTCAGGTGTTTTGTACTGCGAGGGGAGCTCCTCAAATGCCAAAATGCAAGTGGTCAGATCCAACATGACCTTGACAATGTTGCTGATCACTTCATACCTATGTTGCAATCCCAGAATATCCTCTTGATTCTGTGTTTCAGGAACATGCTTCAACATAGCAATAGACGTCGCAGGAGAGTTGGTGGTATAAAGCTGAGTTATCAGCTGGACCTCCCCAAAGTTCAATGCAAAGGCTGCTAATGCTATCACCACCTTTGAATCCCATGAATAGCTTGAAAGCATGCCCAGAATTCCCATAGTTGTCGAATGAGAGTTTCCTCCAATAGAGCACTTGTAAGATATCTGACAAAACCATTGAAATCTCTAACATCAACAGATAATTGGAAGCGTGTACACTTGATGGGGTATAAACTATTGGCCGTTGTTGTGGAGAACTCAAGTTCATGAGAGGTTTGATATCTCTAATTGAATATAGATGCTACTTGTTGTATCCAAAATCAAAATCGAAAGTAGACAATTTTCTTAGCTGCTTACCACTGTAGGAAAGTGAAATTGCTATTAGCAGTCAGCTGATACCTGTATTAAGACCTTGTACTTTGTCGTGTATGAATTGTTGGTGTTATGTTTATATGAGTTTTAAAAAAAAAAAAACAGAGAGCAAGCTAAGTTTTTCTTTAAATGCAAGCTGCCAAGTGTCTAAAGTTACACTACCTCCAATTCTAAATATAAGAGTTAACTGGCAGTCCTAAATATAAAACTCCAATTCACTTTGTCTTCTAAATTTATAATATGTTCTGAAAAATATCTCCATTGATTGTAAAGTATTTCCACTCAAGTGTAATTCTAGTATACATGATTGAATTAGGACAATTTAAGAAAATCAACACACATTTGTTATAAATAACTAACATAACTAATTTTCTTAATCTCCTCAAATTAGTTATCTAACTCTTATATAAAGGACCGGAAGTAGTATTAGACCTTGACTTGTCTAAATTTAGTTGAGTTCAGCCTCCAATAAGAAGTAGCTCTCCTAAAATATCTACCGCATACATATGAACTTGAACTCAACTACTCCTCTAGCCCTCCTTATAAGGCAAAAAGAGGAGAAAATTTTTTTGGTCCTATATACAAGTCACATTACTAAATTTTTCATTTAAATCATAATTTTACTATTCATTTATCATTATATTGACTTTGTACTCTTAGGATAAAGTGTATATTAAAATTAAATAGGGGTAAGTTTAGAAAGTCACTATCTCTTGTCTTAAATATAAGAGTTAGTTGAAATTCGATTTAGTCCTAAATATAAGACTCCAATCTATTTTGTCTTCCATATTTATTTATTTTTTTTAAAGCAGTCCACATGATAATTACACATATTAAATAGTTTTATTCTAATGCATACAATTGACAAAAGTACTGTAGGAAAAACAACACTCATTTATTACAAACACCTAACTCAACTAATTTTTTTAATATTCTCAAACTAGTTATCTAGCTCTCATACTAAGGATCAGAGGCAATATTAAATTTTAAGGCAGAGTTGATGAGATTCAAGGATTTTTTTTTTTTGGTGAAACATGTTAGAAGTGATTTGTACATAGTAGCCGAAGATTATTATTTTTAAGACAAACTTCTAGCTATGACCATTGACCAACGCTTATTGGTTTAGCTCTTATTTGGTGAGAAAGGCAACTGCACAGTCACCAGAGGGAAAAGTTATCTTAAATTCATTCAGGGCAAAGACTATTTATTTAAAGTTACAAAAGATTTATCTACCCATAGTCTGGTACAAGTTAGATACTTCATACAAGCACCTAAAATATCTCCTTAATTCCTGTTTATCTCACATTATTCCTGCACCAAACATATCAAATTATCATGTCGTATATCCTCTAGGGACATATTTTAAAAAGTATTTTTGGCAATTATAAAAGAGAAATAAATGCACAGAGCTAACACATATGATTTCATTTTAGAATAATACAACTTCCTATGGTTAGTTAACAAAACATCCTTGCCAGTATAAAGGAATAGAAGGAATAGATAAACCTTTTTAAATTTTTCTAATTTTTCTCAAGAGAGCTTAAGCAACTTGGTCAGAACAAATAATCAATTACACTTGAATCTTTGTCGCTGACAATCTCTAAGCAAACAAAGGATATAAAAACACTTAACCTTCTCACTCGAAACAAGAACAAGAAACAAAAAACCAAACCTGGCAGGAAATTTTGCTGATTATGTGGGACATGTTATCAAGCATGTGAGGAGCAAGAGCATTGCTACCCAACGCATCCAAGTTTGCTTGCTTCCCCTGTTCAAAGTTATGTCAGAATCAGGGAGGGACAAGCTTTAAGAAAGAAAAGGCAAAATGGCAACACTGTCACAACCTGAAAAACGGGAGGGATGGCTGTGGTGATACGGTGAAAGATGTCTTGAACGACGTTAAGAAGAGGTCTAACATCAATATGTCCGTCAACAGGAGCATGAGTGGCCACAACTTGTTGCATCAGTGCATTGTCTTCTGATGCTGATAGTGTGAGGCGTTTAGCCATTGGTTGCATTGTTTGGGGTACCATTGTAATCTACTTCAATGGAAATTCTGGGCAAGGAAAAGAAGGATCAACAGACGCAAGGCATTTGGTAATGCCAGTGGCTTGGTGAGGTGTAAATGATGTCTGATTCTGTTGAATTCACTTTTTCTTTTTGGGGTTGGTAATAATTCTGTTGAACTTCTATACCTTGCTTCATTTTGGGATTAAACCATGAGGTAAGGTATTGGAATTTGGGAATTTCTAAAAAAGACTTGTCCCCTTCTGTTCTTACCTTTTTGCCATAGGCTTAACAAGGCCATTGGAATTTGGGAATTTCTGAAAAAGACCTGTCCCCTTCTGTTCTTACCTTTTTGCCATAGGCTTAATAAGGCCTTAAAAGAATAACAAATAAATAAAAATAAAAAAATTTATTGAAATTTAAATAATACTTGTAGATTTTATTCATACCGAAATGTTATATACACCATCCCTACTCCATAATTTACAAAGCTAACACCTCAGCTGGAATAGTATGTGCAACTTCAGACCATATTGGTCAGAACTATTATACAATGAAATGATATTGTTGGAGTTACCTTATATTGAGCTCACTGATTCCCAGTGAGAGATAATTTCTGGTAAATTTGAGTCTACAGGTAACGTTAATGAACGAGCTGAGATTGAAGTTCTTGTAGTGTCGACTAGTTTGAACCATTGGCTCGCAGGATCACAGGTAGGATCTGTGTTCAAGCATTTGCAAGTGTTGGTAACGAGGTAGTTGTTGGAGTCCACATCTAGACAAACAGAAGACCCCTTTGTGAGTTTTGACGAGAGGTGCATCTTAGATTCCGATATTATGTCCCATTTGGAATTAGGCCCCGAACATAGTATGCTTAGTTTTGCTGGCATCCCTACATCGTCTGCCTGTAAGCAGAAATATGTTCCCTTCATTGTTAGTATCTTCTGGGGCGTGTATTTCCAGCCTTCAGCTTCAGAGCAGGATCCCAACGTCAATGGGTCAAGCAGTGATTTTCTTTGCACGCAGAGACCCGTCAATGGATGGAATATTACTTTATATGGCCTGCCTTCTGATATCCCTGGCCCTGCATATATTTCAAAATTTCAATATTAACAAATCATAAGTGGAAGGGAAAATCTATATACCGGAGTTTCAATCACTGAAGTCTGGTAGTTATTCTGATATAAGCATGCCATATGAATCATTAGAAGAGTTTGAAGCGATAATTAGCGGGATTAAACCAGGCAAAGGGATCAAAATTTCCCATTGATTCTTTCGGATATGCAAAAGAATGTGTGAGAAGGACAAAAAACGAGAAGGTGGGGCCAACGAAATCCATTTATATGGGTTTCACTTTCTTCCCTCATTACTCTCTTTTACCGGAGACTGGGGGGGAAAAGCTGTTTATTAAAGTAGAGAAAGAGAAGGAAGGTGAGGCCAGTACAATTCATCAAGCCCACTTTTTCAAGCCCCTTCGGTATTTGAAAGAATCCGAGGTCACTGAAGTCTCAATACAGAAGATATTCTTGGATTTCAAGAGTATCTATAGATAATTCAGATTGCATTTAGACGTCATAAAGAATGAGGTGTTCGGATTCTCTTCTAGCGATCCTCTCCTATCCTCTCTAGATGCTATTGAATAGCACAAGGGAATGAAAGTTCATACCTCGGAAAGGAGATTGGAGAGCAGAGATCCTCTGTAAGAAAGAAGAATTCCTGATATCACGCCAATCCCAGTTGAGAAGTCCATAATACTCATTCATTCCAACAACACCTTGCCTGAGGTAATAACTTCCGACAAGGGTCCATAATGCCCAATCCAAGTCATGTTCAGCTGCCAAACCCAAGAAGCAACTCAAGTACCTATTGTCGTTCTCGTTGGTGCCTCTTAAGTCCCCACCAAACTCGCTCACAAACAATGGCCAGCCTTGTTCTACCAAATAACCCGACAGTCTCATCACATTTCCTGAAACTTGGCCACACACATGATTTGGGTTGCCATGGACCCATGCTTGACCGTCCGTGAAGGCATACCAGTGTACTTCAAATACAAGTTTCCTCTGAAACGACAGCTTTACTGGTCGTTCCCTGATGAAGGACAAGTCTTTGTCGAAATTTAGGCCAGAGAGAATCACCAGAACGTCCTTGTTTGCTGCATGCACTGCTTCTGCTCCTTTTGTCATGTACCTTCACCCAAAATCAAGACATCCGCCTCTCAATTTCATTTCATGCATGTCGATCGATAGTTATAATTTCCAATTGTTGGGGATCAAAGGGCCATCGAAATTATTTTCCTTTTTTTTTCCCCCCCTAACTTCCACGCCCAATAAGTGTGTATGGCTAAGAGATATATTGATGATGATGATGAATTGATGATACGTGTGTTATTTTCAGCATCAGCTTACAAAAGATCTTACAACGTTATTGGCACAAAAACATAACGACTTCATTGGTCCAAAACAATTGCGGTGGGATATTCCATTTTATTTTTGTCGCCGTACAGGCATGCATAAAATGGGCCTAATCGGTATAAATTAAATTAAGGGGAAAACGATTTTTTTTTAATTATACATAAATTTCTATATTTAAGACTTGTCATTAAATAGAACCAAAACAGAAGAAGTAATTTTTTAAATAAAATATATTAACTTCCCTTCTATTCAATCTAAATTACAAAGACCTTCTTTTTATTTTGAAAACTTATATAGACCTCTCTCAGAATCAAAATATATGTTGTACAAACCTCCCTTCTAGTTTTGAGATTCAACTTATATCTACCTAACCATTAGATTGACCCATTAAATCATAATGCCTCTCTTTAATACAAATATTATTTAACAATTATCATTTAATCACATATGACATGTCTTTATTTGAAATTAAAAAATAATTTTAATATATATCTATTTTTTTTTGTTATGATATTAAATCAATTACCATATACAAATTTAATTAATTTTGTGAATACAAAATTTTATCTTATAATAAATTTAAATATTTAATCTTTTTTATTTATTAAAACTCACTTATGTAATATTTTAAATATATATGTTAGCTGAAAATGTTTTGCAATCATATGTAAGTATTTTCAATTAAATTATTAAGTTATATCTTAATTTAGTAAATTTAGTAAAAATATTAAATACATCATTGATAAATATTAATGTTAAAAGATAAATTGGAGATTTAATATAATGAGGAGCAAAGTAGTAAACATGAGTTATTCTAATATGGTTTTAATTAAAAGATACATTTAAAGAATCATTTCAGAATATTTTTTAACAATGTTAATAGTCAGAACTAAAATTTATATTTTCAAAATGGAAGAGAGTCTATGTAATTGAGACAAAATAGAAAAATAGTCTGAATATTTTACTCTAATTTTTTTTTAACATATTACATCTCTTGTCACTAAATATTTTTTAACATACTAGTATTACATATCTTACCCCAAAAAAAAATTTGGCCAAGATCTTGTAACTAATTATTATTAAAACATTATTTTTAAATTTAAAATATATTGTTTTTACATATGATTGAAAAAAAGAACATTAAGCATATTAGGTTAAATAACTTACTTACTTATAAAAATATAATTATAGAAAATAAATACGTGACTTTCACAATTCACCCTCCTATATAAGAGTCTTTTTTTTTTTTCTTTTGCCAACCCTATATAAGATTCTTTAAAACAAGCTTAAGTTCTAATTTGTTGACCAAAAAAAAAAGCTTTAATTTCACATATATTATAATGGAAAAATTAGGAATAAATCTCTCGTTGAAAATTTAATTGGTAAATAGTTTTTAGAATGATGGGTTGCCAGGAGAAACTAAGTTACACAAGTAAAATTAATTACAAAAATAGAATATGATTTGCACAAAGCATTACTCGGGTATGAGAAGCTAGTTTATGCATAAAAGAGATGAATTGCAAACAAGAGAAGATGTTGCATAAAGAAATATGATTGCGCATGAGAAAAAATAGATTACATACAAGAAACATTAAGTTGCACACAAAAAAAGTGGAGTTACACAAAGTTCTAAGTGATCATTTGTCAATTTATCCTCAGTTTTAATAATAAGTAGATAAAATTTATACCATGTGGTAAATTCTTATGTACCATGTTTTTAAGAAATTAATAAAATATAAAAATAAAATCATCATAAACGAATGTAAAAGTACAAAAATGCCCCCATTGATTTTTTTTTTTAAAAGACATAGATCATAGATTTCAGGTCAAAGAAAAAGACGTAGATTGTAGAACTGGTAGATAGATATTGAACGTTGCCACCGATGCGGGCGTGGTTCGGTGACGTGAACGATAGGATGATGGGCTAAAACATGATTGGGCTGTTCGAAGAAATAACGTACGTACCGATACCAATCGTTGACGTTTTGTTTGGGGCCTCGCAGTTCATTCCTCAGGCTCATCCCAACCACATTGGTCACTCCTTTGAACAGCGAAGCCATCTTCGTGAGCCCCTCCACCCACAGCTCCGGGTCGAAATCCCGGTCGCCGAAGAATCCATTCCCGTCGGAGTTACTGCAACACCATCCCGGCTTCGTCATGTGGTTGTCTAATATCACCATCACATCCTCCTCCCCCATCCTCTCCACCACCCACTGTTCAACATCAATCACTTAATTAACCTAATTTTCCAGTGCGTAGATTCTTATAAATTGCAATACATAACAATTTATGTGAAATTAAAGCCTGCAGAATCGTTATTTCTACCTTGTAAGCTTGGATAAGGGGAAGATCGATGATGAATGGGTTATTGGATTGGATGCCGGCGATGGATTGGAGGAGGCCGAGGTTGAGGAAGGACTGCCTGACGGTGAGGGAGGCGAGAGAGTCGTTGGTGACGAGCAGAATGGGCCAAGTGAATCTCACGCAGTTAAATCCCATCGACTTGATTCGTCTGGAGATCACATCCACAGGCTGCTTGCTCAAACCTTCTGCGAGTAAGGGTTCCAGATGCGACACCCAATTCACACACGCTAACTTCACTCGCTCGCCGTCTTCCGTCACGATCCACCGCGAATTTGTGTACAGGGGTTGAGACGACGCCAGTAGAAGCGGGAAGGTACAGACCAGAGCCAACCTTAACAAGAAGGAAGGGCTCCCCATCTTGGTGTTCGTTTCTGCTTGATTGAGCTTATGGATTATACGATAGAGTCACTCTCCCAAGTTTCCTTTATATTTAGAGCAATGGATTGATGTTTCTTTCATGGCTTCATCATTCCTGTTCAACTGTCCCTATCATGGCTCGCCTTGTATAATTGTATTTACTGTTTCTTGCCTTCTATGTTTTCGTACTTATCTCGTCTTCAGTTTGAATAACGTTCACTCAATGGCCTTCTATTTGAGAACTTGTACGCAAGAAATTATGATTATTGCTGGTAAAAAAAGAAATTATCATTTTTTTTTTATGAAGGACGTACACGACAAAACTAGCTACACGTTATGTTTCTGGCCTCTCGGGGGCCATTGCCACTATCCTCCTTAACTACATAATCCAGCTGACTTGAGAGCTCACTAAAGAGATATAGATCTGTTTGCATCGTACTCGCAAACTTAGCCAACGCGTCAGCAGCAGTGTTCTTTTCCCTGTTCTGCCCCAGCAACCATAATCACAGCATTCACAGCCTGAGCAGTCTCCTTCTATTTCTACGACCCTGAATCCTCGATCCCAAGCGACCTTCAAGGCCCAAAGAATGCTCCATGTCTCAGTTGATAGACTCGAACCCAAAGGTAGTCTATATAGAAAGCCGCATAATACTGATATTGTAAAAAAATGAGAAAATTGTAATAAAGTTTCACCTGAAAGAATTAAATAAAAAATCTCTTAAAATTATTAAATTAATCTAAAGTTTCAAGAGATTTTACTGTAAAAGATTTTATTTGTTTAATTACTAAACTGTCTTTTTTTTTAAAGTACACATTGACAACTAAAAGAACAATTATTAACAACTTGAGGTATAATAATTAACAACTATCACGACATATATTAACAGCATATTTTCTCAGTGCATAACAAAAATGTAATGCATAAGTTATCAATGTCCACCACGATAGTAGTTAATTGTTACACATTAAATTGTCAACGATTGTTCTTTCAATTGTCAATACATACTTAAAAAAAAATAAGGGCAATTATGTAATTAAAAAATAAAATTTCTTACAATGAGGTCTTTTGGAACTTCATATTAATTTGATAATTTCAAGAAACTTTTTTATATTTAATTCTCTTAGGTAGGACCTTATTACAATTTTCTCATAAAAATTCATCAAATTGTTCTCACGAATAAAATTTTTAATGTGAATTTTTTTCGCTAAAAACTAATTTTTAAATGCTTATAATTTATGTTAATTGTGAATAAATTTTAACTTATGAACTTCATGCATGATGTTAAGTAATGACAGCCACACAAAGGGGAGATCTCATAAAGTATATAAGATTTTATAAATTAAAATAAATGGGATTGAGAATTTTATCGGTGAAGTTTTTTTTTTTCCCAAAATAATGACAACTACATAAAACTAAGCATGGCCCAAAGCTTTTGGGTCTTACCAATGAAAGTTTTAATAAGGATTTTTTTTTCTCAATTTTGATTTTTGTTCTTTTAGCTGCCTAATTTTTCATCCATTCAAAAGGATCATCAAAGAAGAATAATTGCTGGGTTAAACTAAAGAAGCAAGGCTAAAAAATAATTCAGAAATTCAGTGTTGGAGCCACACAGAATGAATCTCTCCTTTTCTCTTCCAATATATATTAAATAATATATATCATTTTTAATGTGATTGGATTTGGATTTTTAATAAATGAGTGAATGGATTTAGTTAGGAAGCACTTACCGAAACCTCTTTCTCTATCTTTTCCAATTCTATGTGAAGAGTAAGCGTAGGAAAGGAGAAGAGGTAAAGAAGAGTTGAAGAAGCCAAGAATTTGAATTCCCAGAGAATTTGGATTGCTAGAAAGGGGGTGTTTGGTAGAGCTGTCAATAAAGGCTAGCTCAGCTCTAAAAGGCTAGCCCTTGAAGGGCCAGCCCTTTAAAGCCCACATGCCTTAAAATTATCTAATTATTGAAGCCTGGCCCTTGGACATGTGGGCTTAGGGCTTAAAAGGGCTGGCCCTTTTATGTTATTTTTTAAAATTTAAATTCTTTTTAATTATTTTAAAATAAAAAATAAAACAACAAAACTTCTAAGATTTTTTAATTCAAATTATAAATATAAGTAAAATAAATTAGTGGTGTATAGAAAAAAAATTAAATGCCAATAAACTATTGTCCAAAATAAAAAAAATCAAAATCTAACAAAACATGAAAAACAAAAAGATAAAAACCTAACAGCTAAAGATTAACAATATCAACATCATTATTATCTTTATCTTCATTTTCATCAGTATCATCAAGATCAACAATATTTGATTGTTCTTTACTACAAGTGAGCTTTTTTTCGGTGATAAAAATATTAAGGTTTTTGTCTTCATTTACCTTATCTAAAATAAAACTATGTAGTAGTTATAAGTACAAATAAGAGTCTAAATATTTGTTCGAATAAGAAGAGTTTTACACTTTGTTAAGATATGTAAACCGATAGTAAATGAAGATCTACTAGCTATTATGGTGATTAACATGTTAAGAATATCAGCTACCATTCTTGAAAGAATTGAAAATTGATTTTAATTGTTTTTCCACAAGTCCAAGACATCTAATTCTTTTTAATTATCTAGCTTGAATATTAATTCTTCTAAGTATTTTTCTAATTTAAACTTATTCATAAAAGATTAATCTATAACTTTATAAATATATTGATAATAATAAATAAAAAATAGGTGGGTTTAAAAGGGCTAGCCCTTGGCCCTAAAGGGTTGGCCCTTTTATTTTTGAGCCCTATAGGGCTAGCCCTTTTAAACCCAATTTCCTTTTAAACCACCTAAAATACAAGCCCAGCCCTCTACTTAAAAGGGCTTAAAAGGACTGGCCCGATGGGCTTGGCCTGTTTTGACGGCTCTAGTGTTTGGGTACCACAAAAAGTATTTTTTAGAAGCACTTTTCTGCAAATCAAGATAAACTCCTCCATATATTTATTTCGTATACCGTAAAAACACTTTTAAAACCATGATTTTGATTCTATCTAAACACCCTTGGGTAGTTTAAATGTTGCTTCAAGTTACGCGTATCTAATTTTGTCTAACTATAACGTGATGTTTGGCCGTCCTCTGCATTTGTACCACCAAAATGCCTCAATTTAAGCAAAATTTCTTGACATGGATATCGTTAGATATTATCTCCAATGCTGTATATATAATAGAACAGTTTTTATTCGTCTTAAATATAAGATCCTATTTAATTTTATTTTCAAAATTTATAATTTTTTCCAATTCAAATAACTATTATGGTATTTTAGAAAAGTTAATACAAAATTTTTATAAATAAATAATTAATTTAATTAATTTTTTTAATATTTATAAATTAGTTAACTAGATCTTATAATAAAACCGTAGTAAGTAATTATGACGGCATGTCCCTAATTAGGCTGTCTACCCTTTTTTGGGCGGAAAAAAAAAAGGTTTACCATTTAGCAAACATTGAGATTTTAGTGTCTGCCAAAAAAGGATGCTCGCATTTTAATGCTTAATAATATTGCTTCTGCTCTTGTTTTTCCTTTGCTTCTCAAAAAACTTCATCACGGTTTGTGAGTCCCAGCTCATTTCTTCCCTGTCTTAATCTTATCTATTTTTTCCTGATCGCATTTGAGAATGAACTGTATTATTGACTTTCGTAGAAGCATTAAACTGCAACTCTCTCTCTCTCCCCCCCCCCCTCTTTACAGGAATCCATACCCGAAAAAAAGTCATTGTTCAGTGATCTACTGCACTTTGGTTACAAATTTATTTTTTTATAGTGCAAAAATGGTGTAGTTGTAACTGCTCTTTCTCATACCATCCAAAACAAAAGGGAGAAATTGGAAACAAAACCCTCATTAAAATTTGAATTAACAAATGAAACCTAAAGACTTCATGTAACTCAACTTTTATCGTGTGTAACTTAACTTCTTTTGTGTGTAATTTATCTTTACTTGTGTACAATGATTTTCCTTTGTGTGATTTGCAACTCAATTTTTCTTTGGGTAATAAAATTTTCTTATATGCAAATCATCTTTCTTATATGCAAACTAATTCTTTATATCCAAATATTATTCTGTGCAAACTATCTTCTTTTTGTGCAACTTATCTTTCTTTATGCGCAACTAATTTTTCTCCATACAATCAATCATCATAAGTCCCATTTGCTAATTAAATAGGGATTTATCCTTAATTTTTCCAAACAAAAACTTGTAAAACACAATGTTGTGTCTTGTTTGGTTATATTTGCTTGAGGAATCCGCTCCATCCTGCTTGCTTCTATGCGTCACTGCTTTTTTGTCCATTTGCTCTTTCCACCGCTGACCTTGCTTTCATAACCTACCGGGAAATTTCTCGAGTATTCCAAGAACAAGAGAGCCAGCCGTGGCAGATCATTGTATGTCACTTAATAAAAAATTACTATAATATTTTATTATTAAGTTTTTCCTTATTTTGATTTTAAGGCTTATACTTTTAATAAATTCCTAATTAGGCCAAGAGCCCTAACTAGGGATTTTCAAATGTTGCTAAAAGCCTAAAAGACTAGAATGTCTTTTTGTAATCAAAAAGGAAAATTGAATGTAGGTGTAAGTCTAATTTTAGTTTTAATTATTCTAGTAGATTTACCAATGAGGATGTGGTCTTTTTTAGATTTTATGTCAAATGTGTGTTTCATACTTGTGAACGTTATGTCAACTCTAAAATTTATGGGCTTTTAGTTATATTTTATATAATAAAAATTTGATATTAAATAAATCTTAGAGACTGAAAAATTGAAGATGAATTGATGAGTCTCAATGTAATTTGTGAAACAGTAAAATTAGTTTTGATAGATATTCAAGAATTTGGTGAATCTTTAATTTTATTTTTTCTCGCACAAAAAAAAAATATTTGATCCTGTTAATCTCTGACATTTGAAATCGTAAAATTTTTATTGGTTCCCATATTTTTGTAATTCTATGGATATTTAGAAATTATACATTTTTTATCTTGACTTTTCAATTATTTTTTATTGGCCATAATCGTGATTTTTCTTTTTTTTATACATGATAATGTTTTTGGCCAAATTTTCATATGGTAATATTTAAAGAAAAAACATGTTAATTAAATTCAATTAAAAGAATTAAAACTAAAATTAGGCTTTTTAATTACAAAGGGTATTTTGGTCTTTTAGCAACATTTGGAAATCTCCAATTAGGCCTCTTGGCCTAATTAAGAATTTGTTAAAAATGTAGGCTTAAATTAGGATTTTGCTATTTCAAATGGATTTAATTAGAATTTTCCCATATTTTAGTGTCTCAAGTTTTTTTATTTATTTAAAGTTTTAACTTATGGTTTGAAATTTAAGGGATCAAAACCAAAATAAAAATAGATTTGAAAGAACAAAGATAATAAATAATTAATGATTTTTTAAAGCTTTGATTCATGATTTGTAGATTATAAATAAAGTCTTGTAATTACAATAGGAGGTAGTATATAGATTTTGAGAGGCCGGCTTTGGGGTTTCTATTGAGGGCTTCAAGCCTTCAGCCTCATCAATTGCGTCGTCCGCCAGGAAAAGCATCGCTTTGGCGTTTCAAGCAAGGCGACCAGATTCAATTCTTAATGATCTAAAATATAACTCATTTTAATTCTGATACATCATTTGAATTAGGGTATTGTTTGGGTTGACTTATAAATATATTTTATATAAGTCGAGATAAAATTTTTCTTATATACTTATTTCATACTCCATAAATCACGATTGAAATACTGTTTATGAATCATTCCAAACAAATCCTGTGACTAACTCTCCTCAATTAAAACTTGCCCTTGGTCAAATGTATCTGGCTGCCCTTCTATTTTTCAATGTCCAATGTGTATTATCAAGAACAAAATTAGAAAATGATAATTAAAATTATACTATAAATCAAGAATTTCTTCTACATCGTATCCAGAGATTGAAGGAATAATTAAGGGTTTGTTTAGATTATAGTGCCGCAAAAATGGCTTTTATCCCGAATTTAGGATTAAAAATTAATTAATATAATATAACTTATGTTTAGGTAGATTTTTATTAAAAAATTTAATTTGATAAAACTTATTTGAATAATATATTAAAAAAATTAGTTTTTTAATTTAAAGGGGTTAAAAAAGTCACCCCACAATCATGGGAAACATTAAATTTTTTTTCTCCAACTGACTTATCATTATTCTGAACATGCACTTAAATTCTTAATTTCCAAATAAGCTGGACGCGGGATTTGTCCGGGCTGTGTTTCTTGCGTCAAAGTCATCGGCCGGGAGGGGAACTTTCTGTACAAGGCTAAGAAAACGAAAGCCAAAAAGAAAATCTTGTTTCCAAGTGGGAGCTTTTCTCATTTTCTGGTTCGTCCTTTCCACACTTGAAAGACCGAAGCAACTCGGCAGGTTGTGTGTCATTTTCTGACTCGCCGTTTCTCTCACTCAGACGAAGTTTCCTTCTCAATCAAATCGGCGCCAAAGCTCATCCCTGAAAGCCCTTTATTTTAATCATCTCTCTCTCTCTCTATATATATATATTCGGTTTCTTCTGCTACTCGCCTGTACCTTTTCCTTCTTTCTTTCTTTTTATAATTCGTATTTTTGTATAAAAAAAAGATTAAAATTAGATGTGATCCAGAGAGGAAAAGGAAAGAGACTGACGAATTGGGACGCAGTATCGGTGACGGTGTTGTGTTGTGCTCAATTTGGGTACCAATATAATCGCCGTCGCGGTTGTCATCATCTTCCATTTCCACTTGCTTAGTATCAGTGGCAAGCGATTCCAATCAAAAGATCAAAAGGACCATCCATATTTGTATTTTATATTAATTTATTAAGCCATTGTCCCAAACTCCAAGTGTTCGTTCATAATTGGGCTTCTTGGATTTCCCAATTCAATACAGATTCCTTCAACTTCCTCCCATTTCAAGGGCTTTATTTTGTTTCCTTGATCGCCGATAATATTATCTAAATGGCGGCCGTTGGTGACGGAGATGCTGATGCTGTCCTTAGTGATGTTGAGGATGATGACAATCCCGTGCCAATTACGATCCGGAGTCCGGCTCCGGAAGATGTCTCTGCTGACAGAGTTAGGGAGCTTCTCGTGGAGCTCGATCGGGAGCGCCAAGCTCGCCAGACGGCCGAGAATTCTAAATCCGAATTGCAAGTTTCCTTCAATCGGTTGAAGGCGCTTGCTCACGAGGCTATCAAGAAACGCGATGAGTTCGGGAGGCAGAGAGATGAGGCTTTGCTTGAAATAGAAGATGCTAAGAATTCGAAAGACAAGCTTTTGATGGAATTGGCTGAGGCGAACAGAGTGAAGAATGAGCTGTCGATTCAGAGAGATGAGATTGCCAAGCAATTCGATGAATTGGTGAAGGAGAGAGACGCTCTTCGATCGGAAATTGGAAATTCTACCCAGATGTTAGTGAATGGGATGGACAAAATATCTGCGAAGGTCAGTATTTTCAAAAATTTTGCTGGTAATGGGTTAGCCAGATCGCAGAAATACACGGGTTTGGCAGCTGTAGCGTATGGAGTAATTATGCGAGCTAATGAAATTGTTGAAGAGCTTGTTAAACAGATTGAGTCAACTGCTAAATCTAGGAATAAGACAAGAGAGCAGATGGAGCAGAGGAATTATGAGATTGCCATTGAGGTTTCTCAGCTGGAAGCAACAATTAGTCAATTAAGGGAAGAGGTCACAGAGAAAACTTCTATCGTTGAGAATTTGGAGAGAACGCTAGCCGAGAAGGATGAAAAGGTAAATGAAGCAGTAGAGTTGAAACAGATTGTCATTGATTACGATGACAAGTTGAGTAAGTTAGAGACAACCATGGAATTACAGAGGACTTTATTGATCGATCAGTTGAGTTCTGTCTCTAAAATTCATAACCAGACTTACCATGTTATTAAGATCATTGATGCAAATCATTCTGAAGTGTCGGAATCCTTGTTTCTTCCTCAAGTAACAGACAATGATGGACTTATACGCGCCTCCTTGGCAGGGATGGAATCTATATATGAATTGATTAGGATTGTTGCCGAGAAAGCTAAGGATGTGTTTGAAAATAAGAATAATGAAATCAGGACTTTGGAAGATACAGCTACTCGATTAGTTAGGGAGAAAGATCAAATTGGTTCTTTACTTAGAAGTGCTTTGTCGAAGAGGATAACATCTGATCCATCTTCCAGAAAAAATGAGTTGTTCCTAGCTGCAGAAAATGGTTTGAGGGAGGCTGGGATAGATTTCAAATTTAGTAAGCTTCTTGGAGACGGAAGGGATGCAGCTTCAAACGACAAGGCAAATGTAACGGAAAAAGAAGAGGATGACATATGCTCTTTGGTAAGTGTTTGCTAGCATTGTTTTGTTTCATTGTAAATTATTGCCTTTAATGTTGTTTGCACTTTGAAGTTTCCGTGGTGAGTTTTATATTAATATACTGCTCACAGGCTGCTGCTTTGGAGAACGTTGTTAAGGCCTCTCAGCTTGAGATTATTGATCTGCAGCATGCTAGAGATGAATTAAGGTACATGACTGAGAAAATTTCCGAAATTTTTACTGTGTATCTAATTTGAAATTGGCTGAAAGAAAATCTTCTCATTTTCACTCTCTGGAGATTATGTATAATTTCAGTTTTTAGCTATGCTGACCTTTCCTTTTTTAAATTTATTGTGGGTTTTACTACTTTGTTCAACTGAATTAAGGACAGAGTTGAGTTTACTTAAGCAGCACGTCGAAGATCAGGCCAAAGAGCTGAACCTTAGAATGCAACGAATAGAAGAACTTGAAGAGAAGGAGAAAGTTGCAAATGAAAGTGTATGCTTACATATCTTTTCTTCGTCATTAGATCGATCAAGTTACTGTCACCCAAACACTGGTTAAATTTACCTGTCATTTGTCATGCAAAAAGGAAAAAAGAACTAATCATTTGCGTATTGTCTATCAATGTTGAGTATGCTGTGGATTGTATGATAGGATTTAACTGTTAATTCTTCTTTGATTCTAAGTATGAACTTAACCTACTTATGATGTAGGTTGAGGGGTTAATGATTGACATTGCTTCTGCTGAAGAAGAAATTAATAGATGGAAGGTGGCAGCAGAGCAAGAAGCTGGCGCAGGAAGAGCTGTTGAACAAGAATTTGCCACACAGGTATGCCCCCTGTTATAGCAATCTTACTGGATATTCACGATTATTTGTTGGGATTAAATAGAATGATTATGTTAATCACAGATGGAAATAATTATTTTTTCCTCTTAATTTTGTAAATTCCACTATTCTCATAATTCAAAGCTTCACTAAATATATAAACCGTTCAATGGTAAAGTTCCAGCTTTGGTTGAGCAACAATGAAATGTGAAATTCAAAATTACTGAGCCAGATTGCTGGTTGCTATTGTGCACTCATCATATTCTGATGTGCCTCTTTTAAAGTACTCTTACGGGTTTGCTCAACAAGTTTATCACTGTAATAACAGCAGGTTAATATTGTGGTGTGTTACAAAATTCGATATTTACATTGCTACTACTGGCTAGTATTCCTCGTTGAAGATGCAATATTCCTAATTACTGGTTGGAAAATCTGCAGCTGTCAGCAGTTAAGCAGGAACTTGAGGAGGCAAAGCAATCCATGCTGGAATCGGAGAAAAAACTAAAATTCAAAGAAGAGACGACAACTGCTGCAATGGCAGCAAGGGATGCAGCAGAGAAATCTTTGAGGCTGGCAGACTTGAGGGCATCACGGCTAAGGGAAAGAGTGGAGGAGCTTACACGTCAGCTCGAAGAGTTCGAGAGCAGGGAAGACTCAAGGAGCCGAAGTAGGCCTAGATATGTGTGCTGGCCATGGCAGTGGCTTGGCATGGACTTTGTAGGACCTCATCGGCCTGATGCACAACAATTACAGGCTTCAAATGAGATGGAGCTCTCTGAACCTTTCTTATAATTGCACCATTTGTTCTGCTTTTCTTATTGTGATTTCTTCATTTTCACATTTACCGAAAATGTAGCTTGTAGCACCAATCTCTTGAACAATCTCTTTGGTGGAGCAATGGTGGTATTAATGGGCCACCATTATACTGTACAGCCCGAGTATCTGCTGGTTTTGACCTACCATCTGGTTGACCTTTGTGATCCTCGCATTGACACATTTGTGATGTTCTTTTTCCCAAAATTTAGAAAGATGGTTGTTTGAGCTAGGCACGCGTGGGCATGTCCAAGGGGCGATGCTTGAGCTTGTAAGTCAAATACTGTGAACACATCACATTTTCTTTCACTTCAGCAGTGATATACGGATGCCCCAGCCCTTAGCTAAACCATGTTCTTAATCACAGATGGGTCTGTCAATCAGGGTTGCAGCTCGGAGGCTGTTCAGGAAGAATGGTTTCCTTTGCTATGATGAAAAGAGCCCTTTCTTTTGAGAAGATTGAGTTGAGATATTTACAGCAGAAGGAATTAGTGATCATTTCCAAAGGAAAAATAGAGAATAGGAATGAGCATCACCTAGAGGAATATCACCAATGATTCATTTCAAGGCAAATCGCGAAACGTGTATAGCTGTTTGTTTGGGAAGAGTGGAGACAATCTTTCTAGTTCGTTTTCCTATTTTTTGTCTTGGTTAATTTTCCAAAGACAAAATATGAAGAACTTGAGCTTTACTAAGTCTGAATTTTACTGTTAGTGTATTGTACTAATTAATCTTAAACACTTGAATAAAAAAACTAAGTTTTAATTTCCTGTTTTAATTCAAGCAATGTGGCAAAGCTGTCCCTAAATTGTGAATTAAAATATTTTACAATCCGACTAATTGCATTTTCCCATATCACTTTCTTCCCAAATAAATAAATGCATACAAGTAAAAGATCCATTTTTCTAGACTATATCTAGGAGATGCTTTTGAATTACAAAAAAACAAATTATAAGTAATCTAAAACCCACCAGAATATACTCGAATGAATTAAAGATGGACTAACTCGTTAATTAAAATTAGAGAAAAAGTAATTTTGGCTGATCAAATATAAAAAAGTTGTTAGAGAAAAGATGAGAAGTTGTGTTGAGAATAATCTAATTTTAACTTATTTTGATGTAAATTACCAAAATAAGCTAGAAGTAAGTTTTCAACACATTACCATCTTTACAAGTTACCCCCTTTTTATAGTATAAGCACCCCATATCCTAAGTCAAACCATCTTTCAGGCACAACAACTAACTCAAACTAATTCGAATCAAGACATGACAGGAACCATTAAAGTTGACGCTACTGGCTCCTAAAATGCTGCATTCTCATATCTCGAACTCAAAACTCATGGTTAAACTAGAATAGTCCCAACCAGCTGATCTAATTATCGCAGTTAGCCACTCCATTATATTTATTCAACTGAAACCACTTTTTTTTTTTGGTAATTTTAAACAAGCAAGCCTAAATCTAAAATCGATTGCTGTGAACCAGGATGAAAAACATCACCCACTAGACCAGCTCTGTAACTTGGCCAACAGACGCCTGAACGGTCAAAATCAAACCGATGCTGCCGCAAGTTGAAATCCGCTCGGAGTCGGAGGGGCCAATCTGGCCGCGTGGTAAATGCCTTGGGGAAATTTCTCCTCAAACTTCCTTAAGTAGAACTACTGATTGTATAAAGAAGCTTAAGGCAAGCTCTGTTTTATTGCCATGAATATTTTTCATCCCCACAAAATGGGCACTCAGAGATGTCAGATGTGTGTCCAACAGTTGAACTTGACAGTATAAGCTTACCGACTTCCTGAACACTGACTTCTAACAATTCCTGGTTACATTTCGCTCGTGCTGCTAGTATTTCAACAGTGTAGAATCGAATTCGAACTCTGCCATGGCATTAATCAGATAAGGAAGACTGCCCCTGCAAATTTTAATAACAACAGTGAATTTACATGTTTTTTGGTTTTTACCAAAAACAGTGGATTTACATCAGTGTAAAATTGTGTAATTACCATCATATCCTACGGCAAACTACAACAACTAGTAATTCATCAATAGAAAATATTACCTCCGGCCCTTAATATAAAAACTAGTTGGTGGGTAAGATTTGATCCTATAAAACCTCAATCCACTTTGTCTTCCAAATTTATGATTTTTTCTTCAAAATGTCTTTATTGATTTTAAGGAATTCCTACCAAAGAGTTGTTCCAATACACATGATTAATGAGAATAGTTTGAAGAAATCAACACATATTTATTATAAATGACCAACTTAACTAATATTTTTAATATATTCAAATTAGTTACTAACTCTTATATTAACACCAAAGGTAGCATATTTAAAAGATGTATCAAAATATGAACTGGTGCCTCAAGCAACACATCTTAGCATTAGCAATTATTCCTCTGGTCTTATTTATAAGGAAGAGAAATAAGAGATTTTTTTTGTTGTCCTATATATAAGACAGAAAGAGAAATTTTTCACATGAATGTATAATTTTACCCTTCATTTGTTATTGTGTTGACTTTGTTTTCATGAGATATAATATATATTAAATAGGGATAAAGTTGAAAATTTGTTGAATTTTTCAGGAAAGTTCATACAGTTTAAAGTTTTTATTGGTCTGTGTGAAATATATTAGAAGTGACTTATAAATAAGACCAAAGGAGTAATAATAACTTCAAAAGATAAAGTCCACATCTATATCAATTAAGACCGAAGCATAATGCGCACAGAACTTCAGCTTAAGTTTTGTCAGATGAGAGCAAATTCAACATACTAGGAGATTGACATTATATTTTATGTTAAAGAAACTAGATATGTAGCAAGAAAGCAACATGTTTACATGTCACAAGTTCTTGGTTTCACCACAACTACATGGAATATGACCTGGCACAAATTCTTTTCTTTATATTGAGTGATTAAATGATATTATTTTTCATGCACTGATGAGCCAAAAAGTGGCAGAAAACTTACCAAATATCTTGAGATTCGGTATTTCAGAATCCTTCAACAACGTTATGCAATCTCTAAAGGATACATGCGTCCAAGCATTTTTCATTTTGTTCTCTTAATCTTGTATCAGATAGGAGTTGGCAGAGGCAAAGAGGACAAAATAGTGTTACGGGTTGAAGCAAATTCTCCGCTTAAGAAAACGTGCTGAGTTTAAAGAACTTCAAACATGCTTGGATACGTGCAGGTTGCATGGAGACATTTTCCTAAACAAACTTGCTTCATCCTGCCATGTACACGGGTGAATTACATCACAGGACAGTCAAAATTTTAACAAAGTATTCACGAGGTAACGGAAATGCTAGATTAATCATATATAGACTAGAGTAGCATTCAGATTCATTGTACTACATTATAGTACACCGTACACATTGGACTACATAATACCTTTTAGCTCATAAACATCTGCGTAAGAGGGAGACGTATCTGTCTTAAACGTTTCATTCAAACAATTTCTCCTCTAGTTTTGTCTTTTCCCCTCAATTCACAGAAAGCAATAACATATCATATAAGTTTGAAATTTCAAACAATATAAGCCAACAAATCTGGATTTTTCTTGCCAATAGAAATCACAAACCACAAAAAGGTTGCAAGTTGTAACAGCACCACAGTTTTTTTTTTTTTTTAAAAAATGTTATTCAATTGAATACTTAAAGCCTGGGCCCAACAAGGCTAACTAGGGGATCTTCTCTTCTTCAACGATCACCTGTTGCATTATAAGAAGTCTTGGAACTTAAATGTATAGCCAGATATTCACCCATTAGATAATGTCCAAGAAAGCCAGTGCTTTAAAATCTGAAAAAAAAAAAATTTCCGTTCAAGGATGTACCAGGGTAAACGTTGTGGTAGAAGGAACTAGATATTGGTCACACCGAGGAGAAATGCCTGTTGAATGAGTAGCTCCAAAGTCCAAACTAATGCTCTGCAACACACAACAGATGGTATAGTGAACATCATAAACTTCAACCTAGTGAAGCAATGCATAACAAGGATAGGCTGGCATCCCAAGAAGAATACAAAACTAGCACCAACAGGTAAACAAGTCAAATAACAATTAAATAGCATAGAAGGTTAGGATACATATCATACAGTGCAAAAGCACAAGTGAGCACAGAATCCAGCGACAGCACATGCCATTGCACTGTGAGGAGCAGAATGATTTGGCAAAGATTTGTTGCTCTCATTGCAGAAAGAGTATATATAGTTGTTATGTCTTTCGGAGGTTCACAGAATACAAACCACTGCATTCCTCATGTAGCATCACTTGATTGGATGGCATTGATTAGACTCTCAGAAAGGACTCTATCAAGTGTAAAACCCTTCTCCATCATTTGGTCCCAAACCCTACAAGCAACAGAAAGCTTGTTTTCCTTTAATAAACCTGCAATGATCAACTTGAAAGTCACCTCATCAGGACAGAGTTTTTTCATCTGCATTTCATTATATAAATGCATGGCATCTGTTATTTTAGAGGCTTTACAGAGTCCGTTTATGAGGGCATTATATGAGATCACATCAGGACTTATTCCATTCTCCACCATATCACTGAAGACACTGCAAGCCATATCAATCTTCCCAGACTTGCAAAGGTAATCAACAATTGTTGTATAGAATATACGATCAGGAAGCAGATTCATACTTGTCATTTGATCAAGAAGTTCCTTGGCAATATCAGAGTTACCTTCTTCCAAAAAAGCTTTTATAAGGATTGTGAATGTCACCACATCAGGTTGAATTCCCTTCCCATTCATTTCCTCAAACAACTTGTAAGCCTTTCTGATCTGACGAGCCTTACAAAAAGCTCTAATAATGGTATTATATGAAACAACATCACACAGCCCTTTCCTTTCCATTGTCTTCACCATCATTACATAGGCCTTCTCCAGCTTATGAGCTTTGCAGAGACCCTTCAGCAATTCATTATAGCTATATACATCTAGTTCCATCCCACTTCTCTCCATCTTCTCCATCAACCTCACTGCCTCCTCCAGCATAAGCTCATTGCAACAATAATCCAACAATATGTTGTACGTAACCAAATCCGGCTCACACCCATTTCTCCTCATGAACGATTTGATAGTTAGTGCTTTATCAATCCTACCCATCCGACAGAATCCACTTATCAAAGCATTATAAATCAAATTATTA